CGGTGTTAATTACGTAATCTGGATTAAAGTTCTGCACGATTGTACTTGAAACGAGTTAGCAGCATTTGAAACTTCATCCGCAGTTCTAATATCTCTGTCGCTCACATATTTCATCACTTCTCTCTGTCTGGTGCGAGGTTGAGTTTTAAAATTGTGGATCCAACGTGACGATACGTTAAACTCCTTATACGCATCTTCATCCAAGAACTGACGTCCTGCTTCCATGGCCGATTGTTGCAATAATCGAGATGTTACCCTCCCGTGCTTCGACAGACGATTCTGCAGATAATGCAGTTGCATCGTCTTCATGATCCGATTCGTATGTGAAGAGTTCGTCGTCATTAATATTTGTTTCATCTTCGTCTTTGCGATATTCTTTGCTCATATATTCTAATGCATTGTTAATTTGTACAAAATACGAATATAATTTCTGTCCTATTGTTTTGGATTCTTCACTAATGTCTTCTGTGTCTTCTTGTGATGGTAGAATTAAATCCTCATTTTTTAATAAGTTAATGAAAAAGGAAGCTGCACTTGTCACCACTTTTTTTCACACCGTTGTAATGTGTCATGCCTCTGTTCGCTATACTACAGCCATTATTGTCCATACTTACATATGGATGTACGCGGCCAAGAACCCACGGCAGAAGATTATAAATTTATGTACACCAAATTTGTATATAACAGATCAAAACTAAAATTGCAAATAATAATTGTGTATAAGAACAAATAAACGCGTGTAAATATCGAATGCGGTAACGGATAGAAACGATAACTTAAATTCTATAAAAGTTACAGCACATGTAATTAATTATTAATAAATGCAATGATTATAGCACAGTTGTAACAGTTATTCAAAAAGAGACAAATTATCATTTAAAAAAAAAGAAAAAAAAATGTTAGGAACCAAGGATTTGAACCAGGGACCTTAAGATTCTGAATCATGCGTTTTACTGCGGATCTAACCGTTTGTATGTTTTAGTTTGTCATACTTCTCAATGTAAGGAGAAGTTGAATTGTTAATATCTTTAATTAGCTGTCTGCCCCAAAACGGGGTATAGGCATGTTCAGCTCGACGAGCTCTACAAGGTGGCAAAGTTTCATTAATAAGTGAGCGTAACACTTGGGTAGCTCGAAAACAAGGTATAGCTTCACGTCATGATTCATCGACAGCTTTTCGCGGGGCAGTCCATGTATCGAGAAAGCGACAACTTCTCGCTGCCGCAACACTGCTCCCCACTCCAATAAGCGGTCGTTCCGACCGCGACCATCTTCGTTCCTGTGACCATCTTTACATAAAGCAGATCTTCAAGCTAATTCAATCTATGGCCTCTAACCTCGAGCTGTCAGTTTTTTTTATGGTCGTTAACCTCTTCTCTAGTACCTCTGCCTGAAAAGGAGGTAAAACCAAAAGACGAAACGCCTTGACATTCGTCCTTCGTCCCAGGGAGAAACCACTTAAAAACCCTGAGCAAGACACCGGTACACTGAGTTGCATTGAACTTGTCGCAGTGAAGTTGGCTACAAATTCACTAACACATTCACGCCGCGTCGGTGATCCGATGGGCGAGTTGCACGCGGAGGGGGGACTGCCTATGTTAATAAATAGAATACTAGTGTATCGACATTTTGGTCGGTAAGTGACATAGCGATCTTCTTATGACAGTCGCGAAAAATGATAAAGATGCGATAAATCGATTTGTAACGTCACTTCCGTATTGTCTGCTATTTTTGAACGTTGAATAATATTGAAATGCTAGACTTAGATAGTATCAACCAATATAAATGATAATTATGAATGTGTAAATTACAACCACAATTAACATTATAAATTACAACTACAAATAATGTAATACGAAGTTAAATCTCAGAAATTTATTAATGAAATAACATTATAAATTACAACTACAAATAATATAATACGAAGTTAAATAATAGAAATTTATTAGTTGATTGTTTTACAATTTTTTACATTTCTTTTATTGTAGACAGAGATATTGTTTCGCTTTTGGCCTTGAAAAAGGCCGTTTTTATATTCTGGCCTTGAAAAAGGCCGTTTTTATATTGTGGCCTTGAAAAAGGCCGTTGTTTTTAGTTTGAACAGTTATAGCTCTGAAAAGAGCTGGTTTATGATAATTGTGCTTCTTTCCAAAACATAATAAAAACATACATACGCAAAAAAATCTAAGATATTCCTAGTAATCCGTCCAAGCACCGTTTCGATCGATTACTTGATTTAAACGGTTTGAAATCGAATTACCCAGGTTTGCGAAGAATTGTGGCTGGGCTCTTAATGCTTCCCACGCACGCATCGCATGTTCCACAATGCACTCCCTGGTTCTTACAATCCCATGAAATCGGCACATTCGCCACATGTGAGACCATACATTCACAATGATATTCAAATCTGGCGATTTCGCTGGCCATTGTAAAACGTGAATGTCAGGGTGTCTTGCAAACCATGCACGTACGATTGCGGAGGTGTGCACTCCACTGTTATCCTGTACCAGCCTAATTACCGGCATGTCCTCCCGTGAATATATCGCACGGACGGATGGTATTAATACATCCTCCAAAATTGCAATATATTCCGCGGAGTCATGTGCGGCGAAATTTCAACCAGTTCTCCAGGACCATGTGGAGTTACCCACCCCCAAAAGCCGCACGTGATGCGCCCACTCTCCCTTCGTTGAGAAACATATCTTTCGTCAAACCGAGAGGCCCCACGGGGCCTCCAAACACGAAGTGCACAATCCGAGGCCGAAGAAAATACTTTTTCATCGGTGAAGATTGTGCAATCCCATTCAGACTGCGATGTAGATACATGTTGCAATGCAAATCCAACGCGGGTCTCGCGATGCCTTTGCAGCAACTGCACCTTACGCTCCGCCCGGCGGGAGTGGAGACCGGCCTCTCGCAGACGACGATAAATAGTGTGCTTAGGCACTCTTATATTCAAATCTGCGGTAACGTTCACCACAGTCTGAAAAGGATTATCTTCAATCTTACCGACTATCAGTCTATCTTCTTCCTCGGTCGTGTGTCGCTCACGTTTGTTTAGTTGACGACGGTCCGCCAATCCTTCAGCACCATGGATGGAATATCTTAGTATATACCTCTGCACGGTACGAACGGAACACCTGGCTATTCTTGCAATCTCCACATTGCTGTTTCCAGCTTTGTGGAGTGCAATAATAGCACCTCGCTGAATAAACCGTTCGTTCTTCGCGGACAACATTCTAACGCGTCCGTTTTGCAAAAAAGCAATGCACAGGAAAAAGAATCACTTATTTGTTTCCATGATTGACACCACTATTGACGTCAAACATATATCATATGCAGTAACAATCTATATTTTTATATAGATATTGAAACAGTGCTTGGGCGAATTACTAGGAATACCTTATTATTTTTCGCGTATTTTGGTTTTTACTTTTTTTTGGAAAGAAGCACAATTCTCATAAACCAGCTCTTTTCAGAGCTAATAACTGTTCAAATTAAAAACAACGGCCTTTTTCAAGGCCAGAATATAAAAACGGCCTTTTTCAAGGCCAAAAGCGAAACAATATCTCTGTCTACAATAAAAGAAATGTAAAAAATTGTAAAACAATCAACTAATAAATTTCTATTATTTAACTTCGTATTATATTATTTGTAGTTGTAATTTATAATGTTAATTGTGGTTGTAATTTACACATTCATAATTATCATTTATATTGGTTGATACTATCTAAGTCTAGCATTTCAATATTATTCAACGTTCAAAAATAGCAGACAATACGGAAGTGACGTTACAAATCGATTTATCGCATCTTTATCATTTTTCGCGACAGTCATAAGACTTACCGACCAAAATGTCGATACACTAGTATTCTATTTATTAACATAGGCAGTCCCCCCTCCGCGTGCACCTCGCCCATCGGCTCACCGACGCGGCGTGAATGTGTTAGTGAAGTTGGCTACAAATTCACTAACGTATTCACGCCGCGTCGGTGAGTGAATGCGTGGCCAACTTCAGTGTACACTGAGTTGCATTGAACTTGGTCACGCATTCACTCACCGATGAGGCGTGAATGCGTTAGTGAATTTGTAGCCAACTTCATTGCGACAAGTTCAATGCAACTCAGTGTACAATGTGTATTGGTCACCTTAGAATCCGCTCATATTCCATTTCAATTCATCTCTGTTTTCTCCTATCTTCGAGGAGGTCCTGACAGTTGCTCGCCCTTCCTCTTGACTCTTTAAGCCTGCGTACCTTCTTCTTGAGGACTTAGCTGATGAAAAGACTCCAGTGCAACGGGTCTACTTATTTATCCGTTCATTTGTCATTTCGCTAATTGCTACTATTGCGCGAACATTTGATGGCATTTGTTCTAGAAATAAGCTTCGCAGAATTGAATCGTTACACTGACCTGCAGCAAGATGTTTCATTTTTTGCAAGAATACTGATGGCTTCTCATCCCCGAGTTCGTGACCATGTAGTAGCTTCCTAAGCCTTGATTCTGTGGTTTCTGCGAAAACTGTGGTGATTCTGTTCTTAAGGGCTTCGTACTTCCCGTGCTCAGGCGGTGAGACGACTGGTAGAACTGCTTGTTCCAGGTGTATGACTACATATGTATCTGTATTTTGAATCTTCGCTTATGACTCGAGCTACTGAGAAGGCTGCCTCAACTTGTTTGAACAATAAGGAAGGATTTTCCTTCCAAAATGGTGGAAGCTTAACGAGACGAGTCGCTTCGACATTCGCCTCTGGAGGATTTGAAAAAGCAGGATTTGGAAAAGTTTGTGGTTGTTGGTACAGCTGTCGGTTCCTCTGATTCCATTTGGAGTCTTCTTTCATGTACGGGCGAATAAAACATTTCTTATCGGAGAGAATTTAGATTTTCCTTCTTCCTTGTTGTATTTAATAATTGTTGCCGAATGTTTTTCTTTTCAATCACGTCGGGGTCACCAGAATATGGGGTCTTATCCTATATTAAAATTGAATGATTTGTGTTTAAATTATAATAATATATTTGAAATTGATAATATAACGGTTTACATGTCTTAATGGTTTGAGGATTTCCAATTTGTTTTAAACATGACAAATGAAGTCGCGACAGCGTTGCGGATGCGTGCGATCACCTCATCCCTCGTGGTCAGGGGTTGCCGGTATACTGCAGTCTGAAAACACGAAGAAAGAAGCAAACAGCGTAAATAAAGATTTTTAAAGTTAGTGCAAAATGATAATGATACTGAACGTACCTTCAGGTGTCCCCAGAAGAAAAAGTCCAACGGATTCATATCCGGAGACCGTGGGGGCCACGGTACAGAACCGCCGCGGCCAATCCACCTGTCGCGAAAGGTTTGATCTAAGTAAGCCCCATCATGCTGGAAATACATACTCATCCGAACCTCGCAAGGAATTTCTTCCAAGAGATCCGGAAGAGCATGCTCCAGAAAATTTTTGTATGTTGTTCCATCCAATCTAGCGGGTAGAATGTATGGCCCAACAACAAAATCATCGCAAATGCCGGCACATAGATTGACTGACCAGCGGTCTTGTGCTGCATGTGGACGAATCGCAATCGGATTCTCATCGTTCCACATGTGCGAATTGTGGGCATTAATGCACCCCTCCCTTGTAAAAAGGGCTTCATCTGTCCACAAAATGTACCCGCAGAACGACGGATTCCGCTCGATGTTTCCCAACAGCCACCTTGAATATTCCATCCGTTGAACGTAATCTCTGGGGAGCAATGTTTGTACGCGTACAAATTTGTACGGGTGCATTCCTTCCAGCTGCAGTTCGCGGTGTACTGTGGTCCGGCTGACACTAAAATTGAAAAAAAAAAAAAAAATACACAATAATTCCATTTTTATTATGAAATTTTCAATTGCACTGAAAATTTTATGTATTTGAAAATTTAAAGTTACCCCACCCGCCTGCTAACTTCTCGCACACTCTGAGTGCCATTCCGGTCGAACTCTGCGACAACTTCTTCCAACCGCGCTGTGGAAGTACGGCGCGATCGGCCCGTTTCACGATGGTTTGGTTGAACCGACCCGGTCCTATGCAGGCGGCTAGCCAACCGGCGGAAGGCTGCCGCACTAGGTGTTAGTTCCCCGGCATGCAACTCGCGGTACCGGGCAGCGACAAAATTTGCATTGCCTTGGCACTCCGTGTATGTAAAGAACATATCGTAATATTCCGCGTTTGTACGTATCATGATGAACGTTTCGTTCACAACTAATTTTGCCAGTCGAAAACGTTTTCAGGGTCCTAGATGGAAGTTCGTTAAGGAAGGGATATTTTTGCAAAAGTATGGGGAAAAAATGATTATTATTGGTGCAATTAATAGCGAGGGTCAGCCAGGTGATTTTGTTTAGTTAACGACAAGCCAGCATCAAAAGTATAGTCAATCACGGAAGTCATAGTACACCGTTTAAAACAAATTACCCCATTTAAAATTCGACAAACTGTAATTTTTTAAAACAGCAAAAGTACATAACTTGGTAAATTAATTTTTATAGATTGTCCAAGAGCCTCAAATCATTTGGTCAAATTTTAAATGAGGTATTCTGTTTTGAACGGTGCATAAAGACCTTCGTATGCTGCTCTTCCAAAGAAATCCCCCTCAAAAATCCCCCTCAAAAAAAAAACGATCTCGCGGTATGTGTGAATGTGCGTGCGCGTGAGAATTCGTTCGGTCTGGTATAAGATCTATTGTTTATTACACAATAATGCATTCATTTGTCGCAAAGTGACCTACTTGGTTACGTGACACCACCCGCTACCGCGACTGACACCACGGTCACCGCAATCGGCCCGGTGAGGGAGGGGTTTTAGTGGGTATTGGTGTGCTGTAGGCACCTTTGAGTCCCACACCACGTACGTAAATGTATTTCCGTTCCGACAAAAAAAAAAAAACATACTGCATTCATTCGTCACTCACAAGGGAACATCAGATACTGATACACTCCGATTTTGATATCAACCCTTTTATCCGAACCGCACTTTCTATATACGTGCTTATAAATCGTAAACAACAAAAGGCGATTCGGATAAAAGGGTTGATATCTCCCTCAAAGTGAAAAACGAGCACCAACGAATTACAATTATCTTCATAAACAGGTCTAATAAATATTTATGCAAAGTTTCATCAAAATCGGAGTGTATCAGTCCCCGATGTTCCCTTGTCAGTGTACTATCTACTTGTACATATTGAGTACTAAGGTCTCCGTTACTCGTGTACTCGAGCGAACTGTACTCTGAAAAAGATTGATAAAAAATTGGAATTTGTTCAAATTAAATGCAAATAGTTAGCAAAATTCATCTTAGTTTGGGGATACAGATAGTTACCTGTACTGAATGTTTCAATCGTACGAGTTCCATTATATACGTCATTTTCATATTTATTCATTGAAATATAACCAATATATATAAACAATAATTGGCCGCCCGTCGACCGCCGCCAACTTGGGCCTCTCCTTTCTCCGCGGCGTCTGCATCGTCGATTACCATAACAGCCATCCCAGTCATGTGGTATTGAATTTTTTTATTATCTGAAATATAACAATGAATGTTTTATAAGAAGAAAAAGCAATCATGGAAATTCAGTGGCTACTGTTGTAGACATAATTTCCATGTTACGAAAACTAATTCGGCCACATTTATTACATGGAAGAATCAACGGTTTTACTTATTTGCGACGTCGACGGCGGCGGATTCTCCTTTCCCATCTCTTTTTCCTTGGACCTGTTTCGCCTGTTTCTTCTATCCTCTTTCTTTTTCATTTCCTCTTTCTTCCTCTTCTTCCTTGTCCATCTGTGAAGAAAGTAATTTATGCATAGATAACATAATATTAATTATGTAAGATTATGCTTGCCGATTATACGTAATCAGGCAGCATATTTGAAGTCCATTTGTCCTAGTAACGCTTTCTTGAATATACCTATATATAATTTTTTAATTTTTTTTCGAGAAGAGGAAAATGCTGTGTTTAATTTCTCAACGACAGAAATGTTCCTGCAAAGATGATGGGCATACCCCTATTGTAACGACTATCTATTAACTCCGGTAACATGCGCAATAAATAAAATTGAATTAATTTTGGCTCCATATTGTTTTACCAAAAGTTATCGTCTCTATCGATTCTTATGTACTTTAACCCTTTTCGGGTCCAGATACAAAATAAGCAATATTTTCTACCCGTAACATGTAATTGTCCTTGTACCTGGTAGTAATAATAGTGGTTCTTGTTCAATACATTTCCTTCTGCATCTGTAAATATAATTGCAACACTTTTGATTGCCTCCTCCGACAATAAATTCTCCGCCGTTTTCGGACATTTGATTTCCACAATGCCCTCTTCGTCTATAAGTCCATCTGGCGAAGCTCCTAAGAACGGGATGGCACTATCAATAAATAATCCACATTCTTTAATTTCAACACTAATGTACACACTTAGTTCTTCACGTGCGAATTTTTCGCATTCCTGTCCATATTGTACTGCAGGTGCACTAATTAGTCGTGGATACACAAACGACTTCACTGAATTTCCACAGAGCGTGCCAATTCGACGACGACGTATTCGTCCAAAATTAGAGGCCGCCAATAATTTAGATTCTAGCCTTACACAGCTACCGGGGTCCGGGCTGAACGAAAACAGTGAATACCACTAGTGTGTGATTTTAAAAAAGTATACATAGACCGTGTCTAAATACACTGGACCGCGTGGAGCAAGGATTTGCCTCGTGGTCCGGGTTTGTCCACTCAAGGGAGCAAGATCGGAGCCAAGCAAGGGTTCTGTCCGTGGGATGTCCACTCAAGGGAGCGTCTTAGGAGCAGAGACCCGTCTTGTCCATAAAACGATAGGCCCGTGGCCCTTTTGATCTTCGCGGGAGGTCTTGGGCCAGCGTGTGTGGTAGGGTAGGAGTGTGTTCTGCGCATGCGCACTAGGGTGGTCAAGTAGCGGGAGTGCACGCACGTAAGGTGATGAGGGCGCTAGTCTGGTGACCGCTCGGTACACTACCTCCCCTACGCAGTGCGCTACAAGATTTATAATTCAACCATCTCGGATTTTTCGCTTGACCGATGGTTTCTTTTTCAATGGTATCTCGTCTATTTTTGCCAATTTTGACAATCTTCGTGTTCACCAAAAACGTGGCTAGGAACATTGTGTATGTCGGCATACAAATTCTTAATTTTCTCAGCCGTTGTTACTTGCTGACTGTATCTGAACTCTGCCGCTTTTACTATCTCCGCACGCATTCGCCGAATGCTGCTTTCAACGATTCTTTTCCATGGACCAGGTGTTGTCATCTTTACAACTTCTTTCATTTTTCTGCAAAAGTTTCGCAACAAATGATTAGTGCATTCAATTTTTTTTACATGAATCTGCGTTTTATACGGATCCCCGCACCTATAATTTCTTTATAAACGCTGCTGTCCCCATCAGCAATCAGTGTTGAATAAATAAGCCAACGTTTTTCTATATTGGTCTTGAACCCTTCGACTATAGCGTCACTTTCCATAGCCGTTGATGCTTGCGCTCCAGTTTTTGAAACAGGTGTACTTTCGTCGCTCTTCTTTCTTTTTCGCAGCACATCGACAAATCCTACACACCTTGTTTCTCACACCGATAAATAAAACTTTCTTCGTATCGTATCCAATTATAACGCCGACTCCAGACGCGGAATCGTACGTTCCAGTCCGGTCCGATCTGAGCAAGACAATTGTGCCTTCCTTAACTGCATGTGCACCGCTAGACCACTTGTTTCTGGTTGTCAGCTCGTTCAGATATTCTCGGTGCCATCTCGTCCAGAAGTGTTGTTTCACCTTCTGGACGTGCTGCCAACTAGATAGCCGATTTGTTACATATATAATAACTATTGTAACTCCTATTCTTTAGCGCCACCCTACAAGGAATGTACCGGTCGCTATGAAATCTTTCACATCTAATCGGAGATATTTTCGCGATGATCCCAATTGTAAAAATTTGTGGAATTTGTTATTGTTAATAACTATTGTTATAGCAACAGACCTATTCGCTGGTGGTAGTCTGCAAGGAATAAACCAATTGCGATGAAACCGTTTGTAACGGGCCATGTGTTTAACGTGGGCATTTTGTAAAACGACGGGGCATTGTGCAAAATGTCCGTAACAAGTTTCGGTCAATCTATAAAATGTCCGATCATTATACAGAATACCTAGAGGGTGGTGGTCAATGTATCGAAACGCTCTTGTTGCATAGATGTGATAGGTTAGATTAGGCTTTAACGTTAACCATCTACAGCCTGATATTACTATCTATCAATAGAATAATCACACGTAACACTATCTCACTCTTCTGAACTTGAAGGTTTAACGATTGCCTACAACGACGTTCTGCTACTATTCAGCGGTCAATGGACGGTTGCACACTCAGGTCTCCTTTTCCATCGGCTTTAACGTTAACTAAATTTAATAAATGATAATTACGAAAAGCTTGCGTTCGTTTCTCGCCGCTCCTTCCAAAAGCGATGTATTCTTGTCTTCTCCTGAAGATGAAGATTCCTGTTCACCCAAATTCGTTATCCAGGGTCAGCAAGGGTCCTCGATGTCCAGGGTCAGCAAAGGTCCTCGATGTTCTGTTCAGCAATGGTCCTTAACGTCCAGGGTCAACGTCAGCGGGCAGTGCATGTGATTCTGAGGAATAACTTGCACGACCACCAGAATGACCATTATCCGGTATTCACCTTCACCTCTTGGGAAAACGTGCAAAAAACCAAGAGAGAGAGGTTGCACTTTTAATTGGAATGATGTCTCCTACCGTCAAGTGAGCCGGCGAAATCAAGGGAAACGTATTTGACTTTCCCACAAATTTTTGAATATCCCACCGCTGTCACCAATTTTGTTGCGAGATTCTTCGTAATTCTAGGGATTTTTAAAATCCAAGGAACGTGGGTAAGCCGCCCGTGGAGCGCTAAACCACTCTGGTCACGTGAATTATTTTAACGAAAAGAAAACTAATTTTTAACTATTTAAAATGAACTAAACTTTCAATAACGATTAACTTTAACTTTAATGTATATGGAACAAGAACAATAAATTGAATTGAAAATAACTGTTTTACACGAGTACTTCTCAAAGAACAAAGGACAAAATATTAAGGACAGCGATTCCGCAAGGTTCCCCTATATATACAGCTCCTGATCACTAAGTAAATCATCGTTAGCAACGCTCATTAATTCTATCCATGACTAACATTTGATAACGAAAAACTGATTCTCTTCTACTGATCGAGCTGTATAATAAGGAGTCCTTTATAACAAAATACTGTTCCTCCTTTACAATTTAAATTTGACGCACTTCAGCCACCACATTCAACTTTCTTTACAACCTAGTTCATAATTTATACAGCCTGGTTCACAATACGTTTCGCATCTATATTCTATTAAACCAGCGAGGATCGCTACAAGGCAATACTGGCGAGGTTCGCAACAATATGCAGGCAGAGTGCGGCGCTACCGCGCCAACAGCGGCTCGCCGTCGCGTTAGAGTTTACTCTCTAGGTTCGGATTCATTTTCGGGCCTTCCCCGAAGTTTGTTACAACGGGATTTATGGCGTCTGAATTCAAATCGTCGCGGTACGCGTTAAGACTCCTAGTTCGACCAGTTCGATTAAGTTGTATAGAGTGCTCGACGAAGTTGGTTATCTGCAATGTGTAGCTCATTGTTAAAACCTTACGAATAAACATTGTGCTATTTTCCACATAGACGTGTCGGATTATTTCTAGTGCACACCGAACAATTAGTGAGTGGAATAGGACGCTTTAGAAATATATGGGCTGGTCGGATAGAGGGACACGCGGATAACAAAGGACAAGACCGACATTACCGACCTGGCCGGCACCCATACTCCAACCGCGTGGCGTATAGGGGAAAAACAGAATTCCCCAATAATATCTGGTTTAGATGTTGCAGGTGAAAACCACATTCACATCTACTGTCGCTAGGATGCCGCTAGGCTGTAGTGTCCGCTTCTGTAACGAGTGATCCATGAGGTGACGTATCTTGGTAAGTTGATGTTGTGGAACCATAAAATCATTCAAAATCTTTAAAACTACACGAAACAGACCGACGTTTCTCTTTCAATATTTTACATGTTCTAATTCTACGCATCATCTTGACTTGGTATCAATTAACTCTAACTAATCTAATAGAATTTTTCTATTTAATAAATAATTATAATTACAAAATCCCATGTTCTTCCCTGAAGATTCATATTCAAACGCTAGACTTACAATTAGATCTTATCAACCAATATAAATGATAATTAGGAATGTGTAAATTACAAGCATAAATAACATTATAAATTACAACTACAAATAATATAATACAAAGTTAAATAGAAATTTATTAATTCATTGTTTTTCAATTTCTTACATTTCTTTTATTGTAAACATTTATTATATTGTTTCGCTTTTGGCCTTGAGAAAGGCCGAATTCTCGTTTCAAAGAGAGTAATTATTATGCATAGTTGGGAGAAATGTTCCAGTTTTAAATGTTTGGTGGCCCCGAAAAGAGCTATTTTAAGGAAAGTGTCTTTATTTCCAAAACATACTTAGAACAAAACTGCGCAAAAACAGTATTAAGTGATTCCTAGAAATTAATGGTTTACTTCAACCTGCAACTTTTGCCCCGATAGATTGTCGAAACAGTCCACTGTGCGCCGGGCGGAACGTGAAGTGCAGTTGCTGCAAAGACATCGCGAGGACCGCGTTGGTTGGACCGCATGATAATAGTACAAGTAAATAATGGACGACTAAGGTACGACAAGTAAATAGTACAACTAAAAATGGATAAAAGCACCACTCAAACTATTAATAGACCTCTCCGCGGAATATATTTCAATTTTGGAGAATATGTTAATACCATCCATCCGTGCAATATATTCACGGGAGGACATGCTGGTAATAATTAGGCTGGTCCAGGACAATAGTGGTGTGCACACCTCTGCAACCGTACGTGCATGTGTTGTATACCGAATCATTCATTATCATCCTTACATAGCCCGGCTTTCTCATCATAATATCATATACCGAATTATTCACTTTGTATTTATTAGACAGTCCGGCTTTCTCATTGTATTATAAGTCAACCTTCAGCAACAAACACCCCAAGTTCTTCCTTCTATTCCTAATGATTCATCCGAACTAGTCATCTCCAAACCTTGACCTCATGACCTCATCCCTTACCGACCACTGGACTGACAATAACTCTCACCTTCCTACTTTTCCGATTCTATAAGATACCCAGCACTTTTCCCTCCGGGTTAGATTTTTCCGAACCGTCTTAAGAACCAGATTCTACATTTGTCACGACGAATATTCTACCTAACACTTGTGATTGAAATAAATATCGTGAGTGGAATACAACGCATGGTTTGCAAGACATCCCGAAATTCAGGTTCTACAATGGCCTGCGAAATCGCCAGATTTAAATATCATTGAGAACGTATGATCTCAAATGTGGCGAATGTGTCGATTTCATAGAATTGTAAGGATCAGGGAATGTATTGTGGACCACGCGATGCGTACGTGGAAAACATTAAGGGGGTCGTCTTATGTGACGGTCAGATTTTTTCGCTTTTTTGGGGAATTTTTTTTAACGAATCATGAAAACACAATATCTTGGAATTTGTACTATATATTTATTAACATTTGAACAGTTATTCAGAATTTTTTGAAGTTATAATATGGACTGCTCATCTGAAATCAAAAAGTCAAACGGCACGTTAATTTGTAGACTTGTGGCTATAGCCGGTACCAAAATAAGGTCAAAATATTGGAAATTTAATGTTTTGCACAGGTTTGAAAATAAAGTTACAATTTTCGACATTTTTAACTTGCAAAAAAAAACTATGACAGATATCACAATGATTCTTGTACGGGCTGGAACTATGAATGTACTGAACATACCATAAAAATTTGACAGGAATCCGTTCAGTAGTTTTTGAGATATCGTGTCAGCCAATTTGAGAAATGTAGTTTTGAGAAAAACGCGGTTGAAAGTTCAAGTATGCATTACACAAAGAAAATGTTAGGTCACTATTAGTCTGCTATCCCTGGTCCATACAATTGACCTTTCTCTGCCGTGGAAATCCTGGCTTGTTTTGCCAAATTACTCGAGCGTCGCTCGGACCGGTCGATGCGGGCATTGTCGCAATGGTGAGCATAGGCTTGAGCAGGCCTGGCCAAGTAGGGGAAAGTTCTCCTGGAACACATGTTCCTACTCCCCTTCCAACGCTGCTCCGTCAAGTAAGATGGGACGGTTCTGACTACCCTCTCTCCGAGGAGACAGTACTGCCGCTAGGACAGACGGTAGTCGGAGCCGTGCCATCTTACTTGAAGGAGCAGCGTTAGAAGGGAAGCCGAAACATGTGTTCCAGGAAAACTTTCCCCCATTTGGACAGGCCTGGGATTGAGCATTGAAGCCAATTTACAAGCCCAATGTATTCGTCGTCTTCAAAATTGATTGGAACCTTTCGTTGAAAATAATGACAGCCAAAAAGCAGGCAATCTCAGCAATCTTTGGGCCAAAATGAAGGCGTTTCGGTGCAAAGGTCCAGATGAGCGAATTCAGCGACTCACTGTAGATTTGAGTTTCCGCTCCCAAGCATCTGGTCAATAGATCTTCCCTTCACAAATCTTCGGAAATTGGTTCTATTACATTCTGCACTTGTTTTGACAATGGAGGCTCGATCGGCTCTCGGTGCACTTAGCGTGGTGCTCCGTTCTACGGCTAACTTTCCAACGACGTCGAATATCGAAAAATCCTTTTACTCACACATTCTACAGATGTTATAAAAGCAATTTAGCAAAAAAAAATTTTGATTTTTTGGACTAATCACACCAGACACAATTATTCGAAAACCTAGGTAATTCTATTCCAAACCGTTCAAATCAAGTAATTGATCGAAACGGTGTTTGGTCAGATTATCATTATTATGATTAGTATGTTTTGGAAGGAAGCACACTTTTCTTAGGGCTACCAAAAGATCAAATTAGAAATAACTCTCTCAATTTACTCTTTGAAACCTAAAAGGATTCGGCCTTTTTCAAGGTCAAAGTAAAAACAACGGCCTTTTTCAAGGCCAAAAACGAAACAATATCTCCCTTTAAAATTATATGTAATAGTTTCCTATAATAAATGTCTACAATAAAAGAAATGTAAGAGGTTGCAAAACAACCAATTAATAAGTTTCTATTATTTAACTTTGTATTATATTATTTGTAGTTGTAATTTATAATGTTATTTGTGTTTGCAATTTACACATTCCTAATTATCATTTATATTGGTTGATAATGTCTAAGTTCAATCATTTGAATATTCTTCAAGATGCACCGCGTGGAGGCCCCTCAGCAACGCTGTACCCAAGCGTATGGAAGTATGAGTATCGCCAATCAGGGCGAAGATACCCATCAAAAAACCAAAACTGGTCTTCTCGCAGTTATGGTCTCTCGTGACGGCAACAATATATAGAAGCTGTACAAAGGTTCGCGGAGCCGGTCTCTTTGCAAGTTCCAAAGGTATGTTGGCTTTAATTTGAAAAACTAACTCAGGTGTAAAACCTGTGGCCTCATGCACAGAAGTATTATAAGAAAAAATGCCAAATCTTGTTCAATCATCCCAGTCATTCTTTGTGCAATAATGCTTCAGATAATCAATAAAAAAACGATGTGCTCTCTCTAGTGACCCCAATGATTGTGGGTGAAAAGCGGTTGATGTAATTCTTTGAATTTTAAAAATTTTACAGAAATATTTTTCATGCCCTGACTAATGAAATTTCTTCCCTGATCAGTGTGAATAGCCCTTGGACATCCGAATCTACTAATGAACTGGTCAGCCAATGCAAGGGCAACAGTCACTGTTTTTGTGCTCTGCAATGGGATCGCATCTGAATATTTAGTGAGGTTATCCTGTAAGGTAAGCAAGTATTGATTTCCCTTTTTTGTTTTGAGTAGGGGACCAACAATGTCCATCTGTACTTTTTCGGATGCTGTTTTAGGGGTATCGGTTATTAACATGGGTTGCCTGTTTTTCACAGAATAATTTTTATTTCGCCTGGCAAACTGGACATGAACGGAATAATTAACCTTAGGTTTACCCAAGGTTCTCGAGGCAAATGCAATAGGAAGGTCTTTCCTAATGGGTCCTTGACTTAAAATGGCGCCTATAGCGAAATCAGAGGCGTCGGTTGTAACGAGAAATGGCTGAGAAAAATTTGGAAATTGTAATAAAGGCTCTACGCAAATGATATCTCTTAGTGTTTCAAAAGAGGCTTGAACATCAGAAGACCAGAGGAAAGGTGCATCCTTTTTCAGAAGTTTGGTCAATGGCTTTGCAATCCTAGCCATTTGGGGTAAATCTCTGGTAATAACCTACGAGGCCTAAGAATTGCTTTGTAACGGGGCGGTCTGGTCGGTGCGCACGGCGCTGCGCACCGCGGTCGGTTTCCCCGTGCCAGGGTTCGCTGGGGAACAGGTTCGAGAAATAAGAGGCGGTGTTAGTATCAAAAATAGAAATATTTATTCAAGAAAATGAAGTAGAGCTATGAGGTTGGTACTGGGCCGCCGGCTGCGGTCCCTGGAAGCGCCGAGGACGGTGGCGGTATATCCTGCCGGGCTCGCTACAACAGAAGAAGCTATCGATGAGCTGGCGATGGAGCCGTGTCGCACTTAAGCCTAGGTGTACATTGGCTTACAAACTACTGGCGGAACCCGGTCCGTTACAGAAGTCGCACGGTCTTAGTCTAACGCGGTTCGTAGCCGTTGCTACGGGGTCTTACAGGCTAACAGCGCAGCGTCGGAGCGCGGAGTGAAAACGCTGAGTGGCGCGCGAACGCGAACGAGAGAGACGCGGTGTTACGGCGCACGGCGCACCGTCGGTCTTTATTCGATTCTCGCGCTGCGGTGTTTCGCGCTGCGGTAGAGTTGCTGCCCGCTTGCCTGACGCGGCTGTCTTCTCGTACACCGTGGTCAAACCTAGCAGTGAACGAGTCGACGACCAATCCCGGCTCGCCCTGGGTCTAGCCTCGGGACGGGACGGAATTGCCATAGGCCGGATGCGGTGCCGGGTAAGCTAGCGTTCGGAACCCCGCGGTCAAACCGGCGGATGTTACGGACGCGCACTAGTTTGGTCATCCTGGGACAAACCTCGGGGCTGACGAAGCTAAGCGCCTACGGCTGCTGGACCGGTTGGGAGCTGCCAGCCCGTGAGGTACGTCACGGTCCGACGGCCGGTGAGCTCTTCGCCTGGACAAACCGCGACGTCGAGCCTACCGGTACTTATAGCCTCGCTCGCGGGAGTGGGGAGGCCGCCGCGGTGGGGGCCCGCGACGCGCGACGCCGATCCGCGGCTGTCGTCGCAGCTTAACATTTTTTCTAGTTGTGGGGATACGAATTTGCCCAGGGGTCAGGTTTTACTGCTTTACTAGAAATTATGTGCCCTAGGTATACTATTTCTTTTCGTATGAATTGACATTTTCCGGGTTGAAGAGTTAGCCCGCTCGTTTTCAATCGTGCCAGGAGAGTTTTCAATTTTCGTGAGTGGTCTTCGAGGGAGTTTGCATAAATAACAATATCATCCATATACATGACTAGCTCGGTATCTTGCAATCCAGATAATACAAGGTCCATGACTCTGAAAAGTGGCAGGAGCATTTTTCAACCCGAACGGCATTCTGTTAAATTCATAATGACCGTGCGGAGTCAAAAAAGCTGTTTTCGATTTAGATGCTGGATCTATGGGAATTTGATAAAACTCGGAAGCTAAGTCCAAAGTGCTAAAATATTGGTCCATATTGGCTCGAAAACTGCTGTTCTAAGCTTGCTCTCTCCTCTGTTGTAAATTGAAGCTCCCGAATGGGCATACCCCTATTGTAACGATTATCTATTAATTTCGGTAACATGCAGAATAAATAAAATTGAATTAACTTAGCTCCATATTGTTTTGCCAAAAGTTATCATCTCTATCAACTCTAATGTACTTTAACCTGTTTCGAGTCCAGATACAAAATAAGCAATATTTTCTACCTGTGATATGTATTGTCCTTGTACCTGGTAGTAATAATAATGGTTGCTGTTTAATATGTTTCCTCCTTACGGCAAATAACCGCAACACTCTTGATTGCCTCCTCCTTCGGACATTTGATTTCCGCAATGCCCTCTTCGTCTATAAGTCCATCTGGTGAAGCTCCTAAGAACGGGATGGCAGTATCAACGAATAAGCCACATTCTTGATTTTAACACCAATGCACGCACTTAGTTCTTCACGGGCGAATTTTTCGCATTCTTGTCCGTATTGTACTGCAGGTGCACTAATCAATCGTCGATACACAAATGACTTCACTAAATTTGCACAGAACGTGCCAATCCGACGACGGCATATTCGTCCAAAATTAGAGGCCATCAATAGTTTTGATTTATAATTCAACTATCTCGGATTTTTCGCTTGACCGATGATTTCTTTCTCAATGGCATCTCTTCTATTTTGCAAATGCTGCAACATTTCCATATGTTTTTTCTGCTCTAATTCATAAATGTTCTTGGCCATATCTGGCTTTTGAGTGTTCGGTCCGTAATTCGAATCCCTTTTCCGAACGGAATTGTTTCCGCACGTGCTTCGTAATCTTTTTTTCCTTTATCTTTTCAGCGTACTTCTCATTTTCTTTCTTCCTTCTATTTTCCATTTTGAGTAAAATAACGGGCGATTTCTTGTTCATCGCCGTATTCAAACGCGACAACACTTGTTTTGTGTTATACTGTAGGACAGCAGCACATCTTCCCGTGTAAGATCCTCTCTCGCCGAAATTCAATCTTTTTCCTCCTGTATATTTGGCGATGATTCCGTTGAAACTTTCGACGGCATTACTGTTACTGTTATAAAGCAAACTTTTAACATGCGCCAACAAAGGTCGAAGTATTTCTTTGATGTGTTCGTACACTCCCATCTTCATCAATTCGGGAACAATGTTCTTTTCATCTTTTTTGCTCGTTTCATTGCAGAAGTATGGCAGTTTTGAACAATCTGCGTGTTCACCAAAAACGTGGCAATGAACATTGTGTATGTCGGCATACAAATTCTTAATTTTCTCAGCGGTTGTTACTTGCTGACTGTATCTGAACTCTGCGGCTTTTACTATGTCCGCACGCATTCGCCGAATGCTGCTTTCAACGATCCTTCTCAATGGACCAGGTGTTGTCATCTTTACAACTTCTTTCATTTTTCTGCAAAAGTTTCGCAACAAATGATTCGTGCATTCAATTTTTTTTACACGAATCTGCGTTTTATACGGATCCTCGCATCTATAATTTCTTTATAAACCCTGCTGTCCCCATCAGCAATCAGTGTTGAATAAATAAGCCCACGTTTTTCTACATTGGTCTTGAACCCTTCGACTATAGCGTCACTTTCCATAGCCGTTGATGCTTGGCTTTGCGCTCCAATTTTTGAAACAGGTGCGCTTTCGTGGCTATTCTTTCTTTTTCGTAGCACATCGACAAAGCCTGCACACCTTGTTACTCACACCGATAAATAAAACTTTCTTCGTATGGTATCCAATTATAACGCCGACTCCAGACGCGGAATCGTACGTTCCAGTCCGGTATGATCGTTTCATCCAGCTTCCATCGGCCACAACGGGGATGTGAGGAATTCCAAATCCGGGAACAATATCGCCTCTTTCAATGGCCATGCGTTTTTCTTCCTCTGCCGCTGCTACCATCTCTTCTTCTGCAGCAACAATTAGTGCTTTCACGATTTTATCGTGATGCTTTCTAAATTCTTTCTTCGACATGGAAGGTATGTTCATCGGTGCAAGGAACTCCTCCATTTGGGCATAACTGCCTCCATTCACAATTGTTCTAGCAACGGCACAGTGGTTTGTTTCCATTTTATTGCTTTCGTCAGGTTCACTGTGGATTTCACCTTTATATTTGCACATATCACATATTACACTAAGGGTGGTCCTCAGGCCCGACCGTTTCATGCCGGTTATTTTTAGGTGTCTAATTCCACAGTCTTCCCTATCTTTAGCATAGTCAATTCAGCAAAGATGTGCTGCACGTCCACGATACTCAGGCCACTTGGTAGACAGGATTGTTCTTCAGGCTCGTTTGTTACAGTTTTTATCCGACTTCGAAAAGGAGGAGGATACTAAATTCGATCAGTATATTTTTTTTTTTCTGGCTTTGTTCGCAGATTACTCTGAGATGGATGGACCAATCGGAACGAATCCTTTTGGATCTTGTAGAGTATCTCTTCCCATTGGTCCCGTTAAAAAAACATTTTGCATTTTTTCATTTCGAACGATTTTTATTGCAAAAAAACGGGAAGTTTCTAATCTCAACATAGGTTGATTTCAATGACCATTTAATATGTTGTCGGGGGCATGATGCTGAAGAACGTTTTTATTATGTATAATTGTTATCGAGTTCACGAAGTCTGCGAGGTCGGAAGAAGGAGACACGACTCTTGTAACAATCACAATTTGTTTAATTAAATTCTAAAGAAAGTATATACAAAAGTCACACAGATATACAATAAAACACTAGAATATTTACAGAGAAATCTTAATCATTAATTAACGGCTGGTCACTACAACGGCTGAAGTACAGCGTCGCGTGTTCAGAAACTGCGTACTTGTACGAAAAGCGTGGACAGCGAACAACACGTGTTTGCGTGTCAAGCGATCGAACAAGAACACGATCGATGATGGCGTCGATCGTGCCGGCTAGCGCGTAGAGAGAGGACCGCGTGGACAAAGAAGGCCCGAGAGGTGCTGCCGCTGTCAGTAGCAACGCACTAGCGAAGTATTTTCGCAGCCAACTTCATTGATCGGCGTGGTCCTGGGGAATTTCGCCAACAATAATCAACTGAAAGCTTTAGTTTCTGAGATATTCGTGAAAAACTAATGTTACTACTACATTGAGTAAAACTTCGTCTTGGGGGACCAAAAATTAAGGGGTCCTTTTTTTTTGTAGTTTTTGACCTGAAATTTTAGAAAATACAAGTTAAAAGTCCAGGAAACCAATAGTTTAAGAAATACAAGTGTTTAAAAATGTACGTATTTAGTGACGTTTGAGAGGTTAGAATGACGCCATATTGTTTCTACCCATCATCTGATTGGTTCGTTTAAGTGACTAATTTCAAGTTACCTTATTCGAAAATGTACTGCTCCTTGATTGCTGCGATCAAGGAATCCATAAGATGAATGTTGTGAGTTTTGCAGAATTTCCTCCACAAAAACTCACACAGGCGATCGGCAAAGTCTTCGTCGTGGAAGCGGCCTCTTCCACGCATGCAATCCTTTACCGGTCGCCAGTTCGCTTCGATTTGTTGCGTATGTGTTCCATCAGGAGCTGTAATTAAAAGACACACAAAACATTTATTTAATATCACACCAATGTGGCCGGCCGCCTCATGGCGGCCGGAAATTTTGATATGACCTAACCAAACTGAAATAATTACCAACAAATTCGACGCTATGATTCACCATCTTATGGATAAATCCTTCAGCAGCGAGACCCATGTAACTCTTAAATGAGTCCGTATGGATCTCACTGCCTGCAGCAACGTTTTCGTTAATTAGGGGGAGCAGAGTTGCCGCTTCCCGGTCTTGAACGACAACCATTCTGCAATCGTTGGTCAATGTGTCGACCATACCAAGTACCCAGTCAAAATTAATTAAAAACCGTATAAAAATTACCTGTACAACGATTGCAGATCCTCCTTCATCGATCCCGCCTAATTTCGGCTTGCCCGCCTGCATTTTGCAAACGTGGTCCACTATCATCTCCCGACAATAGCGGAACCACGCTGCAATGGTGTCCGTAGACAATACTTCCTGATCTTCTCCTACGTCGGATAACTCCGTTGCGGTAATCTCCCAGGAGAAGTCAGAAGTAAAGCAGTACATAAGCCTTAAAAAAAAAAATTTATATATAAGAAACGATTATAAATTTAATTGAAATTAATAATTAAATGATTTCAAATGAAAATTTACTTTATTGCCTTATGTAACGGCAGACGGACATCCTGAAAGAAGGAATCGACTGTGGCCGCGTACTGTTTGCAGTTACCGCGGCCAGCAGGGCATCGGAAACAGCCAAGACCGTGTTCCCCGCCTGCGTAAAGATTCATGAGCCGACAATAAGTACTACAACTTCTTGTAGTACGTCGGAGTCCCTTCTCCCTAGCCCATGAAACAGCAGATTCCTTCGAAGCGGGCAAGCTACCTAAATCATATTAAATAAAATTCATAAAAACACAGATAATACATACAAAATATACAGAAAATTAAAATGTATTAATTATATTAAACAAAATAACACATAAAATTCAAATACCTGCATAAATTATACTTTATCGTACTCATTATTATAAACAAATATACAAAAAAACACAAAAAATATAAAAAACACAAAAAACACACAAAAAATAAATAAAAGATAGAAAATGACGCTACGAAGAATATAACAGTTAAATAAAAAAATTGATAGAGTTAACAAATGATAACTGAAATAAATGAACAGATTTCAAATTTATGCGCGAACCTTCGTACGAACCAATCAGAAGATGGGTAGAAACAACATGGCGACATTGTAACCTGTCAAACGTCACTAAATACGTACATTTTTAAACACTACAACATTCATCTTATGGATTCCTTGATCGCAGCAATCAAGGAGCAGTACATTTTCGAATAAGGTAACTTGAAATTAGTCACTTAAACGAACCAATCAGATGATGGGTAGAAACAATATGGCGTCATTCTAACCTCTCAAACGTCACTAAATACGTACATTTTTAAACACTTGTATTTCTTAAACTATTGGTTTCCTGGACTTTTAACTTGCATTTTCGAATGTTTCAGGTCAAAAACTATAAGATTTGATACTTTTCATCCAGAAATTTTTCGTCCCCCAAGACGAAGTTCAGCCTACATTGAATTCTACATATGCCTACGTGCATTATACCGCCTACTCTGGCGGTGTATGGATAAGCATGCAGTCGTCTGACTACGGTTTCTATACACATATCGCGTCGACCAAAAACCAGTATACAGGTAAATCTCGATTAATGCTAGTTCACATAGTGCGATATTCGGTTTAATGCGAATTTTAAAATGATACCAGGTCGCATCTAATGTGAACAAAAATTCAGCTAATGCGAGGTTTGCGAGGCTTTTTTCGATCCAGACATGGATCAAAGCATGCAAGTTAACAGAGACTTGGATAAAATACTGCGAGTTTATCATCACATATACGGAGATATGAAAAAGCAGAAGAAAGTGCAATCAACACTGTTAAACTACTTTAAAAAATAATAAACATGTTTATGCTATTATAATTTCATAATATACGTATGAAAGGTATATTTCAAAATTTTAATCGTATATTTTCTTTAACTAAGAACCAATTCCTATATTTCAAATATTCGAATAGTACGAATTCAAATAATGCGAACAATATCTGGGATTTATTACTCGCACTAATCGAGACCTACCTGTACATTGGGTTTCAAAAAGGTTCTTGGTCATGATGTGGGAGTTGGAGGAATGAAACGGAACATACAGGGAGATTCTCTCGGCGCGCAGCACAATAGCCGCCCCGCACCATGGAACCCTGCTGTGTTTGCGGGCAAAAAGCCCAGGAGGTCAAGTCGCCGGACCCAAGACTGCTCTGTGTGTTTTGGGTCCGGCGACTTGACCTGGGCTTTTTGCCTGCAAACACAGAAGGGTCCATTGTGCGGGGCGGCTATTGTGTTGCGCGCCGAGAGAATCTCCCTGTAGAATCTTCCGTCGGCATGTGTTGGCCATGCACGGCGAAACATCGTCCCCCCGTTGAAAGGGCACTGATCAACCAACGATTGTATGTTTAAGTGACTGGGTATAAATGGTTGTACTCACCTATGAGACTGGAAGCTTGTGCTTGGTACCTTGAATGAGACCGTTCAGGATCGACACTGGGTGTCAATGTCGGTCTCCCTTGCCTTCACTTCTCCGAGATCGTCCTTGCCCTCCTGGTTTGGCAAGGGTACCAATCGTTTAATGCTGCGATCCAGCACGGTTTTGACTGTAACCGCCCGGATAACGCCGTCGAAGCCTGGGTGAACCTTGATCACTCTACCCAAGGGCCATTGTATTGAGGGCACGTTGTCTTCTCTGACCAAGACAATTGTGCCCTCCTTGACTGCATGCATGTGCACCGCTAGACCACTTGCTTCTGGTTGTCAGCTCGTTCAGATATTCTCGGTGCCATCTCGTCCAGAAGTGTTGTTTCACCTTCTGGACGTGCTGCCAAATAGATAGGCGATTTGTTACATATATAATAACTATTGTAACTCCTATTCTTTAGCGCCACCCTACATGTACCGGTCGCTATGAAACCTTTCACATCCAATCGGAGATATTTTCGCGATGATCCCAATTGTAAAAATTTGTGGAATTTGTTATTGTTAATGACTATTGTTATAGCAAGAGACCTATTCGCTGGTGTTACTCTGCAAGGAATAAACCAATTGCGATGAAACCGTTTGTAAAGGGCCATGTGTTTAACGTGGGCATTTTATAAAACGACCGGGCATTGTGCAAAATGTCCGTAACAAGTTTCGGTCAATCTATAAAATGTCCGATCATTATACAGAATACCTAGAGGGTGGTGGTCAATGTATCGAAACGCTCTTGTTGCATAGATGTGATAGGTTAGATTAGGCTTTAACGTTAACCATCTACAGCCTGATATTACTATCTATCAATAGAATAATCACACGTAACACTATCTCACTCTTCTGAACTTGAAGGTTTAACGATTGCCTACAACGACGTTCTGCTACTATTCAGCGGTCAATGGACGGTTGCACACTCAGGTCTCCTTTTCCATCGGCTTTAACGTTAACTAAATTTAATAAATGATAATTACGAAAAGCTTGCGTTCGTTTCTCGCCGCTCCTTCCAAAAGCGATGTATTCTTGTCTTCTCCTGAAGATGAAGATTCCTGTTCGCCCAAATTCGTTATCCAGGGTCAGCAAGGGTCCTCGATGTCCAGGGTCAGCAAAGTTCCTCGATGTCCAGGGTCAGCAAAGGTCCTCGATGTTCTGTTCAGCAATGGTCCTTAATGTCCAGGGTCAACGTCAGCGGGCAGTGCATGTGATTCTGAGGAATAACTTGCACGACCACCGGAATCACCATTCTCCGGTATTCACCTTCACCTCTTGGGAAAACGTGCAAAAAACCAAGAGAGAGAGGTTGCACTTTTAATTGGAATGATGTCTCCTACCCTCAAGTGAGCCGGCGAAATCAAGGGAAACGTATTTGACTTTCCCATAAATTTTTTAATATACCACCGCTGTCACCAATTTTGTTGCGAGATTCTTCGTAATTCTAGGGATTTTTAAAATCCAAGGAACGTGGGTAAGCCGCCCGTGGAGCGCTAAAGCACTCTGCTCACGTGAATTATTTTAAAGAAAAGAAAACTAATTTTTAACTATTTAAAATGAACTGAACTTTTAATAACGATTAACTTTAACTTTAATGTATTGGAACAAGAACAATAAATTGAATTGAAAATAAATGTTTTACACGAGTACTTCTCAAAGAACAAAGGACAAAATATTAAGGACAGCGATTCCGCAAGGTTCCCCTATATATACAGCTCCTGATCACTAAGTAAATCATCGTTAGCAACGCTCATTAATTCTATCCATGACTAACATTTGATAACGAAAAACTGATTCTCTTCTACTGATCGAGCTGTATAATAAGGAGTCCTTTATAACAAAATACGGCTGTAGTTCCGAATAGCCCCGGAGGCCGATCGTCATGGGCTTTGGAGGGGGGAGAGGGGCGAGGGAGAAAACCCCAAATATAAAACCGTATCCACGTCAGACCAGTAGTTCCGGAGATATTAATTAAAAACTTTCGCAGAATACATAGAATTTTGCCTATACAGACGTAACTAACACAACCATCCCCGCTGTAGAAACCGTGGTCGTCAAGCGTCAAGCAGCCGATGGCACAGTAGGGGGTCTCGACCTGGGTATCTACAGGGTGTCGTATATGTATAAAGCGCATTTTTTTTAAACTGTGGTTCACGTTTACATTAATCTCGTCGTTTTACTCGTTTTGATATGCTGAATCAACTGAATGAGACACTCTATAGATACTCAGGTCGAGACCCCCTACTGTGTCATCAGCTACTTGACACTCGACGACCACGATTTCTACAGCGGGGATGGTTGTATTAGTCATGTCTGTATAGGCAGAATTCTATGTATTCTGCGAAAGTTTTTAATTAATAACTCCGAAACTACTGGTCTGAGGTGGATACCGTATGATATTTGGGGTCTCCCCCCCCCCCCCCCCCCCCCCTCCAAAGGGGGACCCCCCCCCTCCGCCGGGGCTATTCGGAACTATACCCAAAAATATAAAATGAAAATACAAATTCAATCCGTAAAATTATAAATTAGTAAAGGGTCTGTTTTATAAAAAAGTGAACACGGTACTGATCCCCACCACCATTGGAGTGGTTTCAGCATCAACGACAAAAGACAACCAAAATCCAACATGTCAGAAGACAAGGTGCGTATAATCGGCAAGTACAATATTATATCATTAATATTACGTTATTTATACATAAACTGCTTTCTTTATAGATGGAAATAGACGAGCAACAAAAGAAAAACCAACAAGAAGAAAAAGAAAAGGAGAAAGACGAAGAAGAAGAAACAGAAAAAAAAGAAGATAAACGAGAGGAAAAGCTATCGACGTCGCAAGTAAGTAAAAACGTTGATTTTTCTATGTAATAAATGTGACACAATTATATTAAAATTCGTTATTATACGCCATCTGCGAGAGACACTTGATTTCGTAGATTCGATTTTTCTTCTCGATAATTGCATAAATGAAATTTTCGCGGGTACAGCACACACGGGTAGACTTCGCTACAGATCGGTCTGGTCCGTTTGAACGCTAATAAACACCATACCACAGTATAGGAAAGAACAATAGGCTCACTCCGTGTCGGCACCTTTGATCTCATGACCAATAGATTGCCATATTGCTGGTTGTGCGCGGGCTCTAATTTGAAAAGCACTCGGTACAATCAAAAAGAGATTTCGTAATAGAATACTATAAAAAGACTATTAAATATCTACATTTAATTAAAATACACATTTTATTGAAATCTCTGTACAATACAATTATTATATACAACAATTATTCAATTAATAAAGTCCTAATAAATTATATAGAAATGTATAAGGTATACAGCATATCTTAGAAATTAATAAGCAACCCATAAAGTGGTAATATTTTGATAAAACAATGATGATAATAATAATAATGTCTATATCTAAAATGTACAAGAAACGTTGGATAAATATCATTTGACAGATATAAAATATAGAGTGTTCCAGAACACCTGTTACTGCTGTCACTGCTTGCACTTTGGCACCCTTTGAAGGAACAACGGTATCCACCTCTTTCACTCATATTTTATATCTCTGTATAAAATTTACTGAATTTTATCGCAACAGGAATGTTTTAGAAGTAACAGAGGTTAAAATGCAAGAAACTATTATCATATATATTCACAGCCGCCATATTGTTGGTTGTGCGATTCGGTCATGCGCGAGCGACAATTATTGGTACGCTTTTTGGCAAAGTGATCCTACTATTCTTTCCTATACTGTGACCATACGTTGAGATAAATGGTATTTTCGAAACTGTCAGATTGAGACAGATGCTGTTGTAAACAAACAACATGGCTGCCGAATGCTGCGTTCGGCTGTATTTTAGCAAGTATTGAGCGATTTAATGGTTTTTTCACCGATAACACACCAGACCATTCTTCCTTGAATTAGCACAATATCACTGAAATTCGATTTTTCACAATTTATCACTTCGGGAAGATGCAAAACGTAATCTACGATTTGCACGCTTCAGACGTAAGAATAGTTCACTGATTCTCCGTCAGAGGCATTTATGGTATATTTGACCACGTTATCATCAGGGTCGATAGAAACATAAATCAGTCGATAAATGTAAATTATAATTTGACACCACAAACGGCTACGACCATGCGGCAGCGAGGTTTCCCGGAAGAGTCAGATTTTTTGGGAACAATCCACAAGGGGGCTGAACTTTTCTTCAGGGGCCCAAAAATTATGGCCTTTTTTTTATCTTCTTGAAGTATTTAACGAGTAGAATCTAAAAATCCTAGTTTTAAGGCGCGGAATCCATCGGTTCAAAAGTTATGCGTGTGTAAAACTGAACGTTTTTAGCGTATTTTACATGTTACTTCGACGCCATATTGACTTGTAGCCTGGTATCGTCCAATGAGTGGAGTCGCCGTCGGTAAAACAGAATTATGTACATAAGCGGCGGCCTAAACCCAGTATATCTAAGATTAGTTTTTTTTTTTATAGACAATATCCCCTCGGATTTGATAGGAACTGATAGTACTCACACCCAACGAATAGAGTCCAACTGGTGGTCGGCAAAGGATTGGATGTGGGGAATAACCTGTCAAATACGCTAAAAATGCTCACTTTTACACACGTGTAACTTCTGAACCGATAGATTCCGCGCCTTAAAACTAGGATTTTTAGATTCTACTCGTTAAATACTTCAAAAAGATAGAAAAAAAAGGCCATAATTTTTGGGCCCCTGAGGTAAAGTTTACCCCATGGATTTCCTGTCCGAGACGAACGGGGAGCAGGGATCTAGAGTCGAACTCCTCCAAATCAACAGAAGGCACGGTGAGGTTGACGGGGTTGAACGTAGTATTTATGGCATATAACTTAACCAAACCATTTTACTGGCTGCCTAAAACCTCGCCCACAAAGATACCTGGTCCTGCATCGATTCGCCTGATATAATCCGACTCTTTCGTGCTATTTGTTGGAATGGTAATCAAAACCTTTGTTCGAGGAGGCAAGTTATGGGATATAAAATCGGTTAACTGCTTTTCCTGCTCTAATTGCATGATAACTGGAAAATGCTCTCTAAATTTAAGGGTCACCTTTTGTTTTTTTAGAAACGGCACCCCCAAAGTTCCGGCTTCTTTTATTGAGAAATCATCATCTACCAACTAGAAATGAATGGGAATATCATGGATGATGGTGCTACCTCGCGTTGCGTCGGAATTATCCTGGAACCAATACTGGTAAGGTGGTAAATTGTTTCCATATTAATCAACACTCTCGAAGCTAACTGTTTTCGTTTTTTAGATTTAACTGTGACCCGGTATCTATAAGAAAATTGTCGATTCCCTGACGAAGACTGCCGTATCGAAGTGAAATGACAGGTGATAATGTGAAGCTATTTATGCCGGGCGTGTAGCAGACGCGGTGGAGTTGGCGCTGGTGAAATTCAGGGTTCGTTCCGCGTTGCGCCCGTTCGCGGAGCGTCCTTCAAATTTAAAAGATTAAATTGGCTTGCAGTGAATTTAGTACCGGACGGTTGCGACTTTTCCCAACCACGATCAGGATTCCTTTTATAACACCGAGTTTCTAAATGACCCGTTCTTCCACAAAATTTGCATCTATACTTGCCGTCACTAGAGTCCATAACTGCGAAAAGACGAGTTTTCGTCCTTTCGTGCGCATGTTCGGCCTGATTGGCGATACTCCCAAACGAAGTGGAAACCGATTAGCGGAGAGCTTGCTGAGTTCCCCCACCATCTTCCAACCTGCGCGGCTTAGTTATGGACTCTGGTGACGGCAAGGTAGTTGAATAACGTTCCTATCTCCAAGGCTTGCGGCCTCTCTTAGCAGGACAGTTCGCGGATATGTGACCGATTTTATTACAATTAAAACATCTAAGCTGATTTGTATTTACTGTATAAATACCCGGTTTATCATCGGTGATATCAATGTTTCCAATTTCGTTCGTGCTTTTAGCCTGATTCTCTAATTTCGAAGGTAACTTAATAGCAGTACCCAAATCTTTTGAGAGCACTCAATTTTCAACGTGTGTTGCGTGCCCGTGGAGCGCGAAGCGCTTTGCACATGAGGTGCCTAATTTTTAAAACATAATTGTAAAACTTGAAATAAGATTAACTGTTTAAATTCAATAATAACTTTTAATTAACAATAAAGAACTTGAACGAAAATTAAATTTGACTTGAAATGCTTTCACAATCTATTCTTCGTGACGGCGTTTGGACAAAGGGGAGAGATTCTTCAAGGGCCACTGGTATGTATAGCTCTTCATTGCCATGTAAATAGCCGTTAGCAACTCCAATGTAATTTATTTTTGTAATTAACATTAATTAAGGAACAATTTGATTGTTAACGAGCTTAATAATCAGTAGTCCTTGATAACAAAAACTGATTACATCCTGAAGTTTAAATGTTCGAAACATCTTCAGAGGCTACCTTCAGCTTTTCTACAGCCTAGTTCACAATTACAATTTAATTTACTTTATATCGAGATGTAGCCAATGGTTTTAGACATATGTATGCATTAATACACTGAGTATACATAATAATACTTCTAGCATGAAGTGTACGTATAATATTATATAATTTTGTTCTTATAGTTAAACCTGACTGAACCAGGGGAGTGGAGAATGCGATTTTCGGGACATTCTTATGTGTGTGATGCACATACACCCCGTCTGTAAGTATGCGGACACCCTCTGAAACAGAATGCTTTTTATAAAATTGGACCAAATAACTGAAGATTCTTTGAGAAGCTATAAAAATTAATATACTATAACCGCAGTTCACCAGAGTCCATAACTGCGACGCGCAGGTTGGATGATGGTGGGGGAACGCAGAGGGCTCTCTGCTAATCGCTTTCCACTTCGTTTGGGAGTATCGCCAATCAGGGCGAAGATGCGCACTGGAGAAGCGCGAAGAACGAAAACTGGTCTTTTCGCAGTTATGGACTCTGGTGAACTGCGGTATAGATGATGTGTTTTTATCGTTTTATATATTATAAAAATACTGAAAGGGACTTTCGGGCCTGTAATGAAAATTAAAAACATACATCTTGTAAATATAAGTAAGCATGCTGTAAATGTCAACGCGTCTGAAAGTTATAAGTAATTAAAATTAGCAAAAATCGTGACTACTCGCGAATAATCGTGAGTAATCGCAATTTTCACTAATTTAAATTGCTTATAACTTTTAGACGCGTTGACATTTTCAGCATGCATATAACTTACTTATATCTACAAGATATACGTTTTTAATTTTCATTACAGGCCCAAAAGAAACAATTATAAAAAATGTGTATTTCAGTATTTTTATAATGTATAAAACGACAAAAGCACATCATCTAGTACAGGGGTTTTTAAACTTATGTAGTCCGTGAACCCCTTCTTGAACAACATTTCTTTTCGTACAATGTTTATTAGTTATATAAAATATAGAAACATGAAAAAAAGTCAACTTCTGACAAAAATACAAATAATAATGTAAATATTAAATAATTTTTAAACAATATGATATAAAAATCACAGAACATAATAATAATAGGTTCATGTTTTATTTATTGCCTTAAAAATATATCTTGCCTTTTCATCGTCTTCTTGAACTGTTTGCAACCATTTTTTATAATTTCGCGGACCCCCGGTAATGGCTACGCGGACCCCCAGGGATCCGAGGACCACAGTTTAAGAACCTATGATCTAGTATATTAATTTTTATAACTCCTAAAAAAATCTTCAGTTATTTGGTCCAATTTTAAAAAGAGCATTCTGTTTTAGAAGGTGTCCGCACACTAATAGATGGGGTGTATGTACATCACGCACATACCACTGGTGCAGTCAGGTTTAACTATAAGAACAAAATTATATAGTATTATACATACACTTCATAATAGAAGGATTATTATGTATACTTAGCGTATTAATACCATGTTAATGGTTTTATATTTATATTGTATATGTAAACTGAATACTTACAATCTTCTTCTTTTTCTTCTTTTCATTACATCCAGGTGTCTTGTTGCTCTATTTTAATAAAGGCAGCCTCTGACACTGTGTAATAAATATTTTCATTAACAATTATTTACATATGCTATAAAAATTGTATAAGAGTTATTAACAAGTAAGTTCAGTATTGGAACTGCTGATGTTGTTAATCTTTTCCTCATGAAGTACTTTTCTTTAAAGTAGCTGCTACAGATCACCCAGAATTTCAGTTTTCAGGTGGAAACACCGACTTTGGGTTGTCACATACTTCCACCCACTGTGCCATCCTCTTCTTATCCTTCCTCTCTTGGGGGAAGAAGAATATCCTGTTGTTTTCGTTAATACACCTTCTGATGCTACTCTTTCTTTTAAGATACATTTTAATAATTAAAATTAAATATATTACTAAAACAGCAATGTAAACAGTTAATAATTACTTAATTTCTATCTTCTCCTCCTGTTGCTGCATCTCATCAGCAGAAATTATTGAAAAACCTAAAAACCTAGAAAAAATTTTAAAAAATATCTTTTTAAATAATAATAATAGTCATAATAATATTAATAGTAATGATTATAATAATGGAATTCACACACCTGGAAATTTAGTCACCCACGCTGCCACCATGCAACCATGTGCGCTATATTTCTTTAGTTACCTTACATTTTGAAATAATTAACTAACGCAGCGACAAATTTTTTGGGAACTTGACGTCACGATATCTTTAGTTGGGTATGGTAAAATCAGTGATACAAAGGTATTGTTGCGTGCACCGTTCCGAATAAATCCCGGTGTGGGTAAGGTGCCCGTGGAGCGCTAAGCACTCTGCTCGCGGTGTGTGAAATAAAATCGAACACTTTAATGATTTTATAAAAATACTAACTTCTTAATTTGGAAATGGTTTTTATAAGTAAAAAATGTGAGTGGGTTTTAGCTTCGAATTGATCTCCGCTGGGCGGTGAAAATCCTCGATCTATATTGACTGGCATCCCCTCTTCGTTAAATCCTGGATCCTCCCTCAGGATCATCCCTGATCCAATGGTGGAGGAGCCCATCTTCGTCCGGAAGAAGTCCCTCTCTCTGGCTTCGGTCCTCCCTCAAGCGAGTGGAGGTGGTGGTGCTCCGCCAAGACACGAGAACCCACGTAGGACTCAGAGAAATGGAGAAAATGAAAAGATCAAGCGTTAAATTTATGACCCCCCTTTTGAACTTCGTCGTCTTCGAGAACCAAACATGATATTCGTTAAGAGTAATGAATTTGATACGGCACGTAATTAATGGCCTCTTAGAAATTTCATGTCGTCGGAGTCACTCAAAAATGAACTTAGCTACTTTTTTTGTTCATCGATTTATTCTTATAATGATACATACTGAGAAAATATGTATATTCTAGTCTGATGTTGCGAGGAGAAACTGCCCGTATCTCCTTTGAGCGCCGTTTTTATAGGGCGAATTTCCTCGGTAAAAGGATGGAGGTGGGGATGGTCCAGCCGTGAGAAAAAGGAAATTTTCTTAATAAGGGCCTGATGACGGAAACATAAATATCGAAACGGCCTCGTAGGAAAAATAGGGAAAAAGATCTTGATAGCTAAGGATTTGGGAAACAAAGGGATATACACGGTGTTCGACAACAGGTGGGCAAAATTTTTAAGGGGTGATTCTAGGGATCAAAATAAGACGAAAATCAAGAATAACGAAATAGTGGAGTAAAAAGCGCCTGAAACCTGCAACCCGCCCGGCACCGACGACTGAACGTCAGGTCAGCAGGGGTCGGTACAATCATAACCAAGAATCGAAGCCGAATGCTGCAGTACCAAGAAACAGAATAACACGAGGTAAGTTTCTACTATTCAACGATTCTTGGTTATGACTGTACCAACCCCTGCCGACCTGACGTTCAGTCGTCGGTGCTGGGCGGGTTGCAGGTTTCAGGCGCATTTTATTCGAATTTTTAAACGTTAATTACTGGAAAATAAAGCCGCAAACGCTATTTCGTTATTCTTGATTTTCGTCTTATTTTGACCCCTAGAATCACCCCTTAAAATTTTGCCCACCTGTTGTCGAACACCCTGTATATGTAAATATCGAACAAGGGCCTTGTGGGGATGATGTGATAGTATAAAATTTTAGAAAGAAAGGTTCGAAGGTTAGTTTCCGAGATATTTGCAAACATCCTTAGTTAAACTTAGATTACGAGTACACTGTATTCCGGGAAAAATAGAGACTGAATGGTGATTGAAAGAGTGATTGAAGTGGTTTGAGATTAGGGTTAGGGTTAGGGTTTTGTTTTTGATTTTTTCACGTTATAATTCCCCTTTCTTTCACTTTTTATATATTGTATACCTATAATTCATTTTGTGTTTTGTCAGAAATCGGAAACATTTCGCCCATCATGTCGAAAAATGCCATTATACGCTCATTATCATCATGTTGACGTCGGAATAAAAACTCAGCTATATATTCCACGTAATGAGACGTACGAGTTCCATAACGAGGAATATTAGCTCTCGCATCACACCATGTACGCACTAAACCTAAACCTAACCTAACCCTAACCCTAACCTCAAACCACTTCAATCACTATTCAGTCTCCATTTTTCCCGGAATACAGTGTACTGGTGACATAAGTATAAATGCAGTTTTTTACGAATATCTCGGAAACTAAGGCCGAGCGGCGGTAACATGTACAGGGAAAAGTTGTTCAGAATGATGACCTTGACAACACATTTCAAGGTCACGAAAATCGGTGAGGAGGACCAACTTCTAAATAATTACCGTACTTTTTTATTAACTAATCTAACCTAACCGAACCAAACCTTTTTCTATTTAATCGAAACTAAAAGAAAGCTCACGCTGCTGATCGAACGGGTTAAAGATTGATTTAAGCAATCCGTGCAGGACGAGCCTAGCTGGCTCCTCAGCATGCATGCGCTACTTTCCAACCCAGGTATACAGTACCCGACCTTCGTGTGGGTCCTTTATGGCCCACGCCATAAAGTAATCGGCGCAGTTCGAGGCCCGCTGAGAGAATTACCCTGTATCTCAGCATAGGCAACCTACTTCGTGCAGTAGCTTCGACATATCTTACGTGGTCGCAGAAATGGCATCTATTATCGAATATAACACCCAGGAATTTTGCTACTTGCTTCTCGCTGATTCTCGTCTCTTACATTTTTACAGTTGCCGACCAATTCGCAGCCGGACATC